GATAATAATAATAATAATTTCCTTCTAAATAGCATCCATTTCCCTTATTTGGCTTTTATTATGAAAACATAATTAATGAAAGGTGTTATAGTCAATTACAATATACAGTAATTTGTCTTTTCTTTTGTTTTTTAAATACAGTTTACATAGTCATGTAAACCCATTTGACACACATACATGTTGAAATATGTAATTGTATTATAATAGAAGTGGTATTTAAGAGATAAGGTGTGTGTGGGGGGGATGGGGATGAGTGAATATAAGTGAAGTCATAGAGACAAGATAACAAAATGAATAATTAGAATACTACTAATTATAACGTCAGTAACAGAGTTAAAAGAAAAAAAAAGAAGAGGCAAATCTATTTATTACAATTAATTCCTAAGAAGAAAATTAATAACGAGTTTACTAATATGTAAAAATGGGTAGACAGTAATTTTCAAAATAATTAGTTAGTTATGTTTTCTCTATTTTGTCTGGTTAGTTGTATTGAAATATATATTAGGTGATGGAGAGAAAGAGAGAGGAGAAGGAGGTGGTGGTGGTGGTGGAGGAGGAGGAGGAAGAAAAGTCAACTACACTGAACAATAATACTGTCTACAACTTCATTATCCTTATAATCAATATCTCATCTAATTGTAATACATGTTGTTCAGAATAATTTCTCAGCTGTTCCAACAAATTTCGGTTTAAAATAAGAAGAAAGTAAAAACTGCTGTCATAGTAATTACAAGATTATTATCATCATCATCTCATCATAGTGACCAGTAATATATAGAATGTATGATAGCCATATAGTATACATATCTACATCTACAGGAAGTGACTGAAATACAGTCGTCAGAAAATACAAACTATTTAAATACTAATTTGTTAACAAAAACAGAAAAAAATGTGAAGAACTATATTGAAAAATTAAATTCTTTTTTGTTTTAAAGACAAAACTTAATTTCACCTATTCCCTCTCCCTTGCTCTCTCTTTCTCACTTACTTACTTACTCTCTCCATGTGGTTGTATTTAAGAGATAATTTAGAAAAGTAATTATTGATAAGTATGATATATATATATATATGTCGTATTACTGATATTGATAACAGTAGTATATATAGTGATAGATTATAATCAGTAGGAGTTATTTTGTGTTTGCTTATTTGTTTTCTTTACAAGTGTTTATTCTCAATGTTTATATAGGAAGTTTGGTTGTGTGTGTGTGTGTGTGTGTTTGTGTACGTGAATGACAATGACTGAGATATAGAAGTAGGGATATAAGAAGGAACAATGATAATGAGTATTTATTTAGTGGAAATTATATCTTGTCAACATAAATTCTACTTAATTATCATTGTTGTTAATCAAATGGTAATTTAAACAAAAATACAAGAGATAAATGAAGGGAATAATTGAAAGTAATTGTATGTAATTTATGTATTTACATAAGTATAAGTGATAGTTAGTCAGTGTTGTTTTTTTTATTTAAGAATTCCACTATTGGATTGTAAATGTTGTAGGGGCAGTGAAATTTCACTAAGCCCTTGCAAAATCATCCAGGAGTTGGGTCACTGAATATCAAATAGATCATCAATCCCTGTTAAAGTCAAGGACAACAAAACGCGCATCAGTTAATCATACACTATGGACTGGCTCATGCGGTGGTGGTCTGATTAAAATCTCTGTACTCATTCTTACTAATTATATATACGTAATGACGCTCTTTGTGTTATACAGTCTTCAAAGTAGACATAGTACTTTATTATGTCAAATGGGGTAATCCAAGTTAGATGCTGCCCGCGAGGTGTGACTTGGAAGTTAGCTTGTTCGTTAGACATTCGACATAGATAATCAACGTTGAATGTTTACAATGTCTTATCATTAGTTTGATTAACTTGTTTACCAATTACCAACTTAATATCAAATAAAATTAGATATAAATTGTCCCAGGTATCATTATACATTTGTATTGTATCAGATTAAGGAACAATTGAAAACTAGCTTGAATTGAGGATTAGTTTTGTTATAGTCTGAAACTCATACAACGAAATGCTCACTGAAAGTTGCTTACTAGATTTAATCCAATATCGTTTAGCCTTTTAGAGAGTATCATGTGTTTAGATCATTGATTTGAAATCTAGCTATTCACACTAATAGCGAATTCAATGTATCACTGATATGATGCAGTGATCACATCATCCTATCGGTAAACTGTACCTTGACTTTGACATTACTAAGCTGCCCCTGGTCATGAACCCTTTTTAGAAGTTCAATAGAACAATGCCAAAAAGAACTCTAAAATTAAGTGGAAGGTACATTCTGAAATTGTTTTTCTTCAGTCATTACGAATAGGCTTTCCTTGTAAGAGTATAGAGTGAATTGCAGTAAAGAGGGAGATAGACTTTCGTATTAATCAAAAAACTGATGATATACCTCCCCAGTGAAGAGGACAATAAAATTGATTTATTTTTACAAGTTAAATGTCAGAAAGAGTGAAAAGAATAATTTGTGTCAATTTTAATTGAATCTATAAAATCATCAATATTCATTATTAATAATTTCAATAGTTGAAATCGTGAGTCACTTGAAGCTAGACCAACATGGAAAACCTGGAAGCACTCGACGGCCAACTCGTCCTACTATGAGACGCCTCTGCCGTGCGCATCCACGATCCCGCTCGCTAGATTCGTACCCAGGACCTATCAGTTTCGCGCGCCAGCGCTTAACCTTTGGATCACTGAGTTGTCCGGTATCCAATGGTGTTAATGTTTAACTTCAACCAATCCACGAAATTCAGTGACACATCCTCCATTGTCTTCAGTGAATTAATACCGTGAATGTGCACTGTTGAGGAGTCCCACAATAGGACGAAATGGCCGTCCATTGCTTCCAGGTTTTCCATGGTGGTCTAGCTTCAATTAATTCTTGATCTCAACTGTTGAAATTACTACAATATCCACAAACCCCCTTCTGACATTATTAATAAGTTAGAAAAGTTTAATTTAAGATAATTGTAGGTAACTGACAAGTAACTATGATCCAAGGTTCTCTCATATTAAAATTTGTCATCTTGAAAATGATGTCTTTTGAACTTTTCTCAACTACTATTATAACTCATAGTTGTTATAGTTTAAAATTCTAATATTGAGTTATTTGGCTTAAATAACTTACGGTAAGTAAGGAGCTTCAAGGTTAGAATCTAGGATCAAGGAGTTTTAGGGTTAGCAGTTCGGTTTTTCAAAATGTCGGGTTAGAAATAAGTGTTCAGGGTAATTATAGAGCTTTAAACTAAAGCTTAACTTATCGATATTTAGCACTAATAAGTTCGATTATAGTGTTAAAACTTCTAATCCTCTGAAATTTTGTTATTTTTCTATGTTTTAAGGCTCTTACACTAAAGCCAGATTCAGACTGTCTGTTTTTGATGGATTAATACCAAAGTCATCTTCAAAATTGTTTAAGGTCGTCGATATAATGTAATTTCACTTTGATTAATCCCATACTAAGGCAAAACAGCTGTTCGATGCTTCCGAGTTTCCAGTGATTTCTCATCTACATGTAATCTACAAGGTGTTGAAATGTCCATTAAACATCCTATATAAGTATTTCGTCCTATTTTCAAACTTGTCATAAGTATTCATCCTAGATATTAAAAGTAAATCAACTCAGCAATTTCATACTTTGTTATAGGAAATCTGAAAATTAAGGGTGAAAAATAAGGTCATGGTTTGTTATTTCGTCAATAACTTTTCATTTAACTTTATCTCATAATCACCTATTTCTTCAATATACACTTATAAACTCTTCATTTACTAATCATTAATTCCTGTTAACACTTTTACACAATCATTGTCATTGATAATACGTTGATTCTATATGACCAGTGGAGTCCAATCTGTGTCGGATAGTGACATGGATCAGTGAAAGTTAAACATGAACACCGTTATCAGCAAAGATGAATAGTGGCTAGCAGTGAAATCATGGATGCGCGTTTCGTCCTATTTGGGACTCGTCGGCTGGATGGACGAAACGCGCGTCCTGGATTCCACTGCTATCCACTATCCATCTTTGCTTATCATGATTGTGAACTTAGGCTATATCAAGGCAATACGCACAGTATGCATATATGCCAATAAGAGACTGACCAGTTGCAGTCATAAACAATAATGGGAAGATTCAAACAAGCTATATTAAGTGAATTAACGCCGTTAGATACCAGTTCAGTGGTCTAGAAGTTAAGCATTCGCACGCGAGACCGAATGTCTTATATTCGAATTCCACATGAGGGATCCTGGATGAGTACTACTGAGAATTCTCTATGATTATTTAATAAATCTACTCAAATATTTCAGCAGTTCATTTAATATCAGAAGGGGTTTGGTGGGGATTTTAGTAATTTTACAGAGTTGAGATCGTGAGTCAATTGAAGCTAGACCAATATAGAAATCCTGGAAGCACTCGACGGGCAACTCGTCCTATTGTGGGACTCCTCAGCATTGCGCATCCACGATCCCGCACTCGCGAGATTCGAAACCAGGACCTATCAGTCAAGAGATATTTCTTGGAGTTCTAATGAGAATCAGTAACTAGTGGAGTTCAACCAGGTCTGTTGTGAGATATCAACTCACTGATGACATTGGTGAATTACTGCTCAATTTCGTGAATTGGTTGAAGTTAAACATTAACACCATTGGATGCCGAACAGCTCAGTAGTCTATCGGTTAAGTGCTCCGGTGGGAGACTGATAAGTCGTAGATTTGAATCTCACGAGGCGGGATCGTGGATGCGCAATGCTGACGAGTCGCATACATGGATAAAACGACTGTCCACTTCTTCCAGGTTTTTGATGGTGGTCTAGCTTCAATTGACTCATAATTTCAACTATATAAAATTCATTTACTAATTAAAAAATCATGAAAATTTAAAAAAAAACAACAAAATATTGATTTTTAACTTCATTAATTACATCTCTTAAGTTTGTTCTCTTTTTTTTCTTTTTTTTGTTTTCTTTACAAATAATTGTTTATCTGAATAAGTTGATAATTCAATATTTCAATAATAAAAAAGAGAGAATTAGATAATAAAAAAAAGAAAAACAAATCCAAAAGAAAACGGGAACAAATAACACTTTTTTTCAATGAATTTCTTGTTCTAATTCTAAAGCTGGGCACCAAATTTTATTACCCTTCCTAATAGGTCTCCCTTTATTCATTCCATCCATAGTGTTCTTTCTATTATTATTATTATTATTATTATTATTATTATTATTATTATTATTATTATTATTATTATTAACAGTACAATGATTGTTTATATGATGATTGAATAAGTAACATTGTTGTCCAATTAAATCTTTATTCCTTTTTAAACATTTCTCATTCGTGAATGAATTGATAAATAGATTCATATTTAATGTTTCATGTTTATTATCTATTTCTAATGTATTCAATGTTGAAGATGGGAAATGTTTTAATGAAGACGGTAGAATATTTGATATTGAAGGGGGTTGTGTTAAATATTTTGTATGATTTTTTTCTTGTTCTTCACCGTCGTCCTCGTCGACGTCGTTATCGTCGTCATCGTCGTCGTTGTTTTTGTCTCCTTGTTCATTTTCATCATCAATTTGTGTTTCTTCATGATCATGATCAGATAATGAAAGACAAGTAAATTTTTGTTGTTTTTGTTTTCTTAAAGCCATTACATCACGTTCAAGTTCTTCAGCTTCTCTTTTTAATTTAGCTCGACGATTTTGAAACCATGTAATAACCTATTTGAAATACAGAATAAAAATAATAAACATTATATAAAGACATTAAATCAGTCTTGAGTGCTGTTAGAGGTATGAGGGCAGTTATCACTTCCCGTTTGCCCACACTGTGGAAGGGTTCTTCTAGAGGTACCTGAAAAGGAAAATGGGTTGGAAGTGGTATTGATGACTTAAGAGCGTGACTGCAATGCCCAAGGGACAACTGTTTGAGGTCAGTCACACACGACTTTTTTGTGGGTAATTTTAGTGTTAGCTCCGTAATTGTTGGGACCTTACCGCCGGAGACGGATATCTGTAGGATAAGGCGAGGCGTGCATTCTTGGGGTCGATCTTTTCTAACCCCACCCCTAATTGTGGGAAGGCAGCATCGTCGTTATGCCGGTTGTCTGAAGGAGACACCTTACAGCTGTCACACCTCTGTACAGTCAGCAGTACGACTTCGCCTTCGGACCTTGAGTTTGCTGCTTTTAGTCTTACTGCTTTTCAACCAACCTGTCTGGCATGGTAGGACCTTGAGGAACGATTGTTCCATCCAGTATAGCTCGATTAGTTCATCACGGTAGTCAGGCCCGACCATCACGTCAAGGTAGCAGCAACGGTCAGGAAAAGACATTAAATAAGAATAATATATTTGTAAAATCTCAGTAAATGAATTCGAAGTAAATTCAACGTTTCGCTTGGCAATCTGGTCCTTTGAACGACGCCGAAGTGATCTTGAAAGCGTTTATCTACCTACTAGAGCCAAATGAGGGTTATAAACTAGTTTGAAGAATAAGGATTATGATTTATAGTTGATAGTTAGAGTTAGGAATTAGATTTATGGTTTTCCATTACGAACTGAGCGGCCTATGCTCCTCGACGAGGGGTAAAAGGCGTAAGTAAGTAATTAAGTAAGTAATCACGAACTGACATAAGCTCTAATTCCAAAACTCTATTTAGCCAAATGAGTGAATGAATTTCACACCAAGATTCAAGACCTGTTATCGTAAATCTCATTGGTTTGTCCATAAATTATAGTCTCGCTCAATTCTTTTATGCTAATTTCCAACTCTTAACCATTATGGAATTACAGTTTCACATTATATAGAACAGAGTTTATTCAGATCTTCAAAGAAAACAAAACATAACAACTGTAAACAAATAAATTTGAGTTTAATATTTCATATTGACAACTTTAGTTGATTTGTGTTTCCATAAGATTTGTACTCTTACATAATCACACAAATGAATTTCTACTATTCATTTATATTGAATCAAAATTATCTTATTCTCTTCCTATATACATGTACATATACAATCATGTAAACATTGACTATTTAGTTAATTAATATCAGAAGGGGTTTTAATAGTTCAGATCATGAAATAATTGAAGCTAGACCAACATGCAAAAGCTGGAAGCAATGGATGGCTGTTTCGTCCTATTGTGCGACTGCTGAGCAGTGCGCATCCACGATCCCACCACGCCAGATTCGAACCCAGGATCTATCAGTCTCGCGCGCTGGCGCCTAACCTCTAGACCACTGAGCCGACCGGTATTCAACGGTATTAATGTCCTACTTCAATCCATCCACGAAATTGAGTGACATCCACCAATGTCTTCAGTGAGTTACTATTCCACAACAAACCTAGATGAACTCCACTGATCACTTCTGAGGAGTCCCACAATGGGACGAAACGGCCGTCCAGTGCTTCCAGGTTTTCCATGGTGGTCTAGCTTTAATTGACTCATCATCTTAACTATATAAAATAATGGATAGTTTTCTTCTTTCAATCACTCTTCCTCTCTTTAATTTATGTATAAAAGAAATTTATGATAATCGCTTGTTTTTACTATAGGCTAAATTGTAATATAAATAAATATACTACTTATAAAGATTGTGAATTACTTATAATTGAATACTATTCATCATAATTGTTATCAGTATTGGCTCATTTAGTTCATCATCATCATCTATGTGATGAATTCCAAGATGATGTATAACTATAATTAATAGTTATAAGGACTGTGTGATAATTACCCGAAACAATAATGTTTTATGACAATAATAAGAATAATAACAGTGATGGTAATAATAATAATAAGGATTCGATCACCCAAGTTGACATTCTACACAATGGGATTATAAAAATTTGTTAAATAATAAGTAACCCTAATCGACTACTTATAACATTGTTATTAGTAGTATATATCATTTCGTTTTTATTTTTATTGTAATATTTATTTATTTGTTTATTCATTTATTAACTAGTTTGTAATTATTTTACTTGAAAGAAAAAGTTGAGAAAAATCAGTTAATCTTATCATTTTGATGTTGATCTACATCTATTATTCCTGTATTTTACCTGAATTCTTCCCCTTCTACCTTCTCCCCCTCTTACAAAGCTACATATAGATACATATTCGGTCGGTGATAAAACTTGGTTAACTTTTTGTAACTAGTTTCAACTAACTAACTGACCGATTGATCAACTAACGAAGTAGCTTATTTAGTCAAATAAGTTTATCACACTGGTACGATCAATGGCGCCACATATATGTATTTATCTTTATGTAACTAATAATGATGATATTCGGTAATTTATAATATTTGGGGTTTTGATGTATTTACATAATTACCACACAAATATATAAATATATATATATGCTTCCTGATACAGAATTATAGAATGTGTTGGATAATTGGAAACAAACAATGCTGTTTAAGATGGATAGTGGCTAGCAGTGAAATCCAGGACGCGCGTCTCGTCTTATTTGGGACTCGTCATCTGAATGTACCTCCATCTCAGACTTGATGTTCGAGGCAATACGCACAGTATACATATATGTCAATAAGAAACTGACCAGTTGCAGTCCTAAACATCAATGGAAAGATTCAAACAAACAATACTACGTGAATTTAATGCTGTTTAGTTGATTAAACTATCGCTAATTCACACAACACATATATCGTGTGCATTCTTTAGGTAGTATTGACTTTTCCTAAGTGAATAGTTTAATTACAAAACATTTCGTTGTCATTTTGAACATAATCCTCATTGTTAAATTCATGTGTATTCTTTGTGTTCCCAGTGGATGTTTGATGAACTAATCATCTTTTAAAAACTTATTTGTAAAGGTGGTTCATTGGTAGAATATTTCAACAGTAATGAATGATTTGCGTTTAGCAGTGTATTACTGTAGACACGTTTTATCTTATTTCAAACTCGTTAACTGGATATTACTGTATCCTCATATGAATATTCACATTTAGACTAAGAACAATCACCTTTGTATCTGAAAATATTGTCTATACGTTATCCATTTAACCAATTAGGTTACACAGCTACTAACTTGTTTAACAGGTTATATGGTTTTATTATCAGTGATAAGGGTTCGGACTATTCCGTTGTTGGTAATTAGTACTGAACTTTAATCAGTCCTTGTATTTTATTCTTTTGATGACGTTATATTTATATATGGAATGGGTCAATAAAATTGTGGTGGAAATTGAAAAATTATAAAAATATAACAGTACACAGTGAAAACAATTTAAAAAATCACAAGGGGGGGTTGTGGAGATTTTAGTAATTTTATATAGTTAAGATCATAAGTTAATTGAAGCTAGACCAACATGAAAAACTGGAAGCACTGAACGGCCAACTCGTCCTATTGTGGGACTCCTCAACAGTGCGCATCCACGATCCCACCTCACGAAATTCAAACCCAACACCTACCAGTCTCGCGCCAGAGCAATCTATAGATCACTGAGCTTAATGATTTACGGGTTTAATTTCAAAAAGTTCCTATAAAACTCCCATAATTATAAATTATAGAATAACCAAGAATTTTAATGACTTCACTCAGGTGACAAGAACAAGAACTAGATCTTGTGTGTTTGTGAAAAGTAGAATCAATAATATGAGAAGATGACTTTCAAAATGTTTTTTGCTTTCCTTGTGAAATTATAACTATTTCAGTTTCAAATAATGTGAAACAGACTGTAAACCATTCGTTATCGATTAACATGGACATGATCTCTTTTCTAACGTATATCATCACAATATGAAAAAAATGGATTACGTTCTATTTCCAGTCACAATTTGAGAACTGTTTGATTCCTCTAAAATATGAACGATTGGGAGATTCTTCTATTACAGGACAGGATCTACATTAAGTAGGTAGATTAGACGACTAGTAACCCTTCAATACCAAAAATACTACACACAAATAAGGGAGTGAGAAAAGACAAGACTTTTAAGAAAGCTTTAATCTTACCAAGTTAAGTTAATAATATGATAAAACAATCATGTTTGTACAGTAACAATAATGAATGACCATAAGAGCATATGACAGTATAGTAAAATTAAAAGGAAAGTAACAAAACAGAAGTTAGTCAAGGTCACTTACTGGAAGTTTGTTTATTCTTCAAAACTACGATGTATTAGTGCTGATAGATTTTTATCTATTGAAATGTAGTCACTAGTTTAAGTGATTCAATACTATATGAACCATGTTTTCATGTAAGATGATTATTAAAAACTGAGAATTTGATGATAAACATCAGTTTCATCAGTATTACAGATCTATTTTACTATTGAATATGAATAATCACCAAACTGAAGGTTTGGTGTTTTTTCAATCTTATTATCACAAAATATGTTAATTTTTGGGCGAGACTATAATCTATGAACGAGCCAATCAGAAGCGTTTAAGGGGTCTCGAGGTCACGGGGCCGATTTCAGTACCTGGTGCTCATGTACGTGTGGTTCACAGGGGATTTTATATAAGACGTGATGATTAAGTGGCTACAATATATGGGACTACTAAGAAGTTGCTTTATTTGTTATTGCGGTAATCAAATGACTCGTAGACTTTGTGCAGATTACCGTGATGTTGTCCTTCGATGAAATATATGTTGGAGGAAGAAGTCCCCCGGAATGGGAACTTTCTTCGCTCGGTCCAGATTGAGACTAAGGCAAATTATATTAATTCTCGTGAACTGTATAATAAAAGCACCAGTAAAATTGGCTGAAATATTCGCAGATGTTACTGAAGCTCCGCTGTTCAGTGGTACGAGTATTGTAAGGATATATGCGTAATAAAAATGACAAACTTACACAACCGGAGTGCATATAAACAATATTGAAGATATGTGGTCGAGGCTGAGAAAGTTTTTGCAATCTCATTATGGCTCCACAGACCGAGTATTATGGAGCCATATGGATGAGTTCCTCTACCGTATTCATTACGATTTTAGAACCTTTGAACCTCTTTCTAACCTTGGCAAGTTTTTGAACCATGTGGAAGAAGTACATCCACTTTGGTTTTGTATAATTTATTTTTACTCTATACTATTCGCTTCCTGATTGGCTAATATTTCCCAAGGTCACATTATATTCGTCCGAAGGTCGTCCATAAATTATAGTCGCGCCAATTGTTGGGATAGCTTCCAACAATTACGATGGAGCCTCCAGAAGCTCTAGAGGAGCCGAAGAGTTTCCATGCAATCAGAGCGTGATGAAGCTTTCTGAAATACTAAAGTCCCATGCAGAGATTGGACACTAGCATAACTTGCCTATTTGCAGATTGGCTGAATTATAATGATGCTATAACAAACTCTACTATTTATAAATACCCATTGCTTTCTGCACATTTTGATTCTTATCCAATTAACCCATTCTCCAGCTTTCTTCTGTGACTGTCGGGTGTTCAACTGCCGTAGTGGTATATCATATTCTAAGTTAATCAAGTAACAAACTTAACATTAATGCAATTTAATACAAAAATATAAACTATAAATAATCAAAATTACCTGTGTATTAGTTAATCCTAAATGTTTAGCAATTCGATCACGATCAGTTGGAGTTAAATAACGTTGACGATTAAAATTATTTTCTAATTCATTTAATTGACAATTAGAAAATGTTGTACGGGTTTTACGACGTTTACGTTGTTGTGATACTTTATTATAAAATTGTATTGTTGATGTTTCATTTAATTCATCTAAATGATAAATAAAAACAATCATATATATGTATAGAATGATTATTAGTTGAATTCATCTAAGTTAGATCATCATTGAAAACCTGGAAGCGTTGGATGGCCATTTCATCGTAGTATGGAACTCTTGAACTCTTAAACATACTTCAACCTCCGTAAATCCTCATTCTGATAATAATCATGTGCTCGCTAATTATTGGTTTCAAGATGAAGTTCTAGTAAGAAGCTATGATTAGTTGAGTCTATTCTGTGTTGGATGGAGACAGTTATCCACCTGAGACAATGGATGAAGATTTGTGAGAAATTACTGATCGATTGAAGTTAACCATTAATACCTTTGGATACTGGCTTAGTTGTCTAGAGGTTAAACGTTTGCTTGCCAGACCGAAAGTTCAGATTATGAATCACATGTGTGGTGTCGTCGATATGCACTGCAGAAGAGTATCGTACTAGGAAGAAATGGCCATTCAGTAATTCCAGATTTTCAATGGTGGTCTAGCTTAGATTAACTCATGAACTCAATCATTGAAATTACTACAATCTTCATAAATTCTCATTCTGATAATAATTTTTTTAGTGTGTAGTAATCTTCGTTAATTTCGATCTAATAACGTTTCCATAAAATTGGATAAATTAACGCCAATGTAAACTGTATATAGTTTCGTGGTGAATTGTGGATTGTTATAATTATGGAAACAAGTCACTTTTTAATGTCAGAAGGGGTTTCTGTGGATATCATAGTAATTTCACTAGTTGAGGTCATGAGTCAGTTGAAGCTAGACCACCACTAGAAACCTGGAAGCACTCGACGGCCGTTTCGTCCTTGTCTAGGATTCCTCAACAGTGCGCATCCACGATCCCGCCTCATGAGATTCCAACCCAGGACTAATCAGTCTCGCGCACGAGCTCTTAACCTCTGAACCACTTAGTCGGCAAGCATCCAACAGTGTTAATGTCTAACACCAATCAATCCACGAAATTGAGAAAACGTCCACCATTATCTTCAGTGAGTTACTATCTCACAGCAGACCCAGTTGAACCCCACTGGTTACTGCTTCTCACTAGAACTCAAGAAAATACATTTTTTCTCCTAACAAACTAATACAATTCCGATATGAATTATTACTTTGGTAAAAATAATTAATATCTATTCATGTTATAGAATTCAATAATTAGAAAGTATTTCGGTAAGATTATAAATTATGGACAGATCAATGAAATTAAGGATAGTAAGTCTTGAATTTTAGCGCGTAATTCATTTATCCACTTAATGAAATAGCATTCTTTTTTATAGCATTATAGATGATGTTAGTTGATGATGTAAAATCTTTCATTTATTGCATAACCTTCAGTTCGAACTCCAAATCAATCCTACTCCAAATTCTTCATATTAACTTATAACTATTTTTTGACACTGATAAATAGGTTGTCTACGCAAGATACTTCGGATCCGTTGGCCAGACACTATCAGCAATATGCTACTGTGGGAGACAACAAACCAGATTTCAGTGGAGGAAGAAATCAGGAAGAAGCGCTGGAAGTGAATAGGACACTTATTGAGGAAATCACCCAACTGCGTCACAGGACAAGCCCTCACATGGAATACTGAATGCCAAAGGAGAAGAGGAAGACCAAAGAACACATTACGTCGGGAAATGGAGACAGATATGAAAAGAATGAACAAAAACTGTATAGAACTAGAAAGGAAGACCCAGAACAGATTGGGTTGGAGAATGTTGGTCGTTGGCCTATGCTCTATTGGGAGTAATAGGCGTTAGTAAGTAAGTAAGTAAATAGGTGAATCGTCTCAACGTCGCCGTGGTTGAAATTAAATTTCCTTTCTATAAATAGAATATGTTTTCTGTGTAAAATAATTGATTTACAATAAGAGGTTTTGTGGATATTATAGTAATTTCAATAGTTGAGCTCATGAGTCAAATGAAGCTAGACCACGATGATAAATCTGGAAGCTCTGAATGTCCGTTTCGTCCTCTTGTGGGACTCCTCAACTGTGAGTATCCAATTATTAATTATCCATTATATATGAAAAGTTTTACAAAGCAACCAAACTGAATCAGTTTCAACTCCTGTTAAACGCTTCTTAACACCGTTGGATGCCGGCTCAGTGGTTCTGGAGGTTAAGGGCTCCGGCTCGAAACCGGCAGGTCTTGGGTTCGAATCTCGCGAGTGCGGGATCGAGGATGCGCACTGCTCAGGAGTCCCATAATAGGACGAAATGGCCGTCCAGTGCTTCCAGGTTTTCGATGGTGGTCTAGCTTCAATTGACCCATGATTTCAACTATGAAAATACTAAATTCTCCACAAAACCCCCTCTGCTTCTTAATTAGAAACTTATCTTCTTACATGTAAGTTTTGTTTATTTATTTTTTCACAACCACAGTGTGAAATTATACTAAAAGTAATTACTATCTTAGTTTGTTCAATGTGTTCAATAATATTTAAACATTTCATTCTTATCAACATTCATACATTAAATCTGTTTGTTTATATAAATAGATTTTAGAAAAAAAGCCAATTGTTGCTATGGCGTAAAAGAAAAAAAATCATCAATAGTAAACAGTTGTTTACATTTTGTTTGTTTGTTTGTAATCATAAGATGAGGTAAAGCCGTAAATTTTCATACCTACATCAATGAAGCCAACATATACATATACATTAGAAATGATAGTTATGTAAATCTGAAGATATATTATTATCATCAATGAGAAGTATACTACTTATAAATATCGGGATTATATCCATTTTAGCAAATGTATATGACTAATTAAACCACTACACATTTTATAAAACATAAGTTATTTCATTTAGTTTAAAGTTAACAGAGACTTATCCTCATAATGAATGTTTGTGAAGATTGTATTGGTTTTAATAGTTGAATTAATGAGTCGATTAAAGCTAGACCAACATGGAAAACCTGGAAGCATTAGACGGCCGCTTCGTCCTAGTATGAGACTCCTCAAAAGTGTTCATCCACATTAACACAGTTTTGTGCCGGCTCAGCGGTCTAAGGGTTAAGCGTTCGCACTTGAGACCTAAGGTATTGAGTTCGAGTCCAGTGTGCGGGGTTATGGATGTGTACTACTAAGGAGTTCCATACTAAAACAAAACAGTCGTTGAGTGCTTCCAGGTTTTCAATAGTGGTCTAGCTTGAATTTACTCAATAATTTAACGATGAAATTGTTATTTGTTCATTTTTTTAATTATGTTCAATATATATGTTCAATGATAATTTGTTCAATATAAAATGTGTCACTCAATTTTGTGGATTGGTTAAAGTTAGACATTAACATCGTTTGATGCCGGCCAACGAAGTGGTCTAAAGGTTAAGCGTTCGTGTGCGAGACTGATACGTCCTGTGTTCGAATTTCGTGAGGTGGGATCGTGGATGCCCACTGCTGAGGAGTCCCACAATAAGACGAGACAGCCATCCAGTGCTTCCAGATTTTCCATGTTGATCTAGTATCAATTGATTCATGATCTCAACTACTAAAATTAATATAAAACTGTTTTATCAATTCATTTCACTGATTACTTAGAACAAATATAAAAGTGAATATTGACCTGAATATCTAATCTTCTACCAATATTTTTGTCACTACAAGTGTATTAGCTTCGTATTCGTCGTTTGAATATGTTACTATTCTGTTTGCTAATAGCACATCTACTTAGAGTACATGGATATATAGATAATTGTTTTGTTTCTAATGAACAATGACATTTTCAAATGGAGGATTTAAATGCCAAATGAATTGGTTAGAAGAATAACTGACGGTAATCAAATAATTAATTGATGACATATTTTCTATTTATTATTTCATATTTTTAAATTTAGTTTTTGGTATAAACTTTTGTGAAAAGTAGATTTTCTAGAATTTTGCAGTACGATGTTATATTAATTAGAAATGGTTATATTAAGTTGAAGGATATTGATATTCATAACAGTTACTGGTTAATAGACTTTTATTCAGAAGGGGTTTTGGGGAGATTTAGTATTTTTCATAGTAGAAAGCATGAGTCAGTTGAAGCTAGACCACCATGGAAAACCTGGAAACACTGAACGGCCGTTTCGTCCTATTATGGGACTCCTCAGCAGTGCGCATCCACGAACCCACTCTCGCGAGCGAGATTCGAACCCAGGACCTACCGGTTTCGAGCCGAAGCCCTTAACCGATAGACCACTGAGCTGGCATTCAACAGTGTTAATGTCTAACTTCAACTGATCCACGAAGTTGAGCAACCATTCACCAATTGTCTTCAGTGAGTTCCTATCTCACAACAGACGTGGTTTGAACTCCACTGGTCACTGCTTCTCACTAGAGCTCCTAGATATACTTCTCGAAGTCACTAGTGAGCATATGATTATATTAATTATCAGAAGATGTTTTTTGGAGATTTAGTATTTTTCATAGTAGAAAGCATGAGTCAATTGAAGCTAGTTAAATTTAGACATTAACACCGATGGATGCCAGCTCAGTGGTCTATCGGTTAAGGGCTTCGGCTCGAGACTGGTAGGTCCTGGGTTCGAAACTCGCGAGAGCGGGTTCGTGGACGCGCACTGCTGAGGAGTCCCATAATAGGACGAAACGGCCATCCAGTGTTTCCAGGTTTTCCATGGTGGTCTAGCTTCAATTGACTCATGCTTTCTACTATGAAAAAGACTTTTATTCATTAATTAAGGGGAAACGGTAGTTTTTTTTCTTACTGAAGTTCAATCTTTTCGGGTGTGAGGAAGTTCCCCACAGAAGACAATGGAAGATGGTTGAGAAATATCGTGAAATGATTGAAGTTAGACTTGTACGTCGTTTGATTTCGGATCAGTGGTCCAGAGGTTAGTGTTTGTGTATGAGACGGAGGGTCCTGGTTAAGTACCACTGAAGAGCCTTATACATGGACGAAGTTATTACTCACTGACTCCAGGTACTCGATGGTTGTCTAGGCTTGATTAGCTTGTAATTTCAGTGAAAGTTAACAATCACCACAGA